TGTTAGAGAAAGGGGGCTCTTGCTTGAAGGTCTTGCTTGGCAGATGTCAGTTGAAAGCTCAGCAAAGGAAGAGGCTGCCACGTCAAGCTCTGCTGGGTGATTTTAGACAAATGTGTCATGTGTGACATGGAAAGACGGCGTGCCATACATTAGTGATTTCCCCAGTGTTTGGATCAGGTAGTAATGTGCTGAGAAAGTGCTCTTTATCTATCCTCTCTGTGTACTTGTACAGCAATGGGGAAATGCTTTTGGTAGAAATTACTTTCGTCAGAAAAAAAGAATCCATTTACAATATGTGCCTTCTAACATCTTTCAGACAATGCATTGTATTAAAGAGGAATTTTCGATTAATGTTTTATAAACACTTTTCAGCATGACAGCTTAAAGCCCCTGTAAAATTGTAAATGCGTGGAGAGTGCTCACGTCCATAAAGTCAAGTGCCATCTCCTGAAGCCTGCTCGGATCCTGTCAACCATGGTGACATAGCATCAGTACCTTGGACCATTAAAATTTATTTCCTTCATTTCTATGGCTGCTGTGATCGCAAGATCTTTTTTAAAGCCTTGGATTTAAATTTTCTTGCAAATGCCTTTATGTCTTGCATGCTTAAAAGAATTATTTTACAGTTAACTAAAGGTATGAAAGGGCAGCAGGACATTTTGCTTAAAGGGACTTGGGAGATGTAAAAGACATGAACATGAAGAGATGGGGAGAAAGGATGTATGAGGTTAGACAGGGTGCCATCCTAGGAGTGGAGACATTGGTTGGAGGTGGCTGCTCGCACTTGCATGGGCCAAGCTTGGGGTAGAATCAGGGTCTTGCCTAATGAAAAATAGCATGCCACAGAATCACTGAGTAAGAGTGTTACCAGTCCCCCTATTTTCATCTATGACCCTCCACTCGCAGGCTGAATGTGTGTGCAGTAGAAAAGTAAAAACAAAAACCTGTCTCATGCAACCTCCCTGTCGCTAGGGGGAGCCATCTGTAAGCCAGTCCCCCACAGATTGGTGTATGCAACCCAGCAGCAGTGAGTAAGGTGGCACAGATTGGTGTATGCAACCCAGCAGCAGTGAGTAAGGTGGCACCGTGGAAGGTGCTGCAGAGGAAATGGTGACAGCACAGAAGGAAACAAAAACCTACCGGTGATATTTAACCTACTGATGAATTCAAGAGAATGTGAACAATGCTGAAGCAGCTTTCTACCCACTCAGATTCCTGTTTACCTTATTCCATTGGTATCAATGGAAGTGTGGTGGAGCTGAAGGGAAAACCTGGGGATCCAGTCGTTGGACTGCAGATTTGCTCCTGTGTTTACTAATGATCTTGGTATCATTTTTTCTGGAGGACTCAGCATGGTGTCCCAAATAGCCGTCCCTAATGAAAGAATTAGGGCTGTTCAATAGCATACTCTGATACCAATGTGTAAACAAAAAGAGTCAGGGATATGATAAAAGAGCTTTCTAAGAAATTTGTCAAAGAAGGGGAAAGGTAAAGAAGCAATCTAATTCTGGATGAGGAGGCTGATCTGGTACACATCATGGAGACCTGGCTTGGCAAAGAAACAGTAGTCTCCAGGTTTCCTGGTGCCGCATCTTCCTTATCTTATTGGACACGTATGGAGAGAAGCTCTCACCAAGTGCTTGGTCAGCCAGAATCCCAGTTTTCAATGTATTTACCTAATGTTGGGGGATGTTTTGGAATGAACAGGTTTTTTGTTGGTGCACCACCCACTCCCTTGTCCGATAGTAAAGGCAATCTCAGATTTCATGCTGAGGATTTCAACATCTATGGTCCTTCAGGATTCCATCATCCATCCTGAGACCATATTGATGGGACTTCATGTCTCCCATGACAACCATGGAGCTGTCCCAGAACATTCTGATACCTATGCATATAGTAGAGCATATCATAGAACACCGTAGATTTGATGTTCTCCGGGGATAATGTGCATTGGTAATGGGGTGTGTGTGTGCTTTTCCTCTGTGCCATTGCTAAGAACCAACCATTGCCTGGTGACTTTCAGATATTCAGAACCTTTCCAAAGATGGGTAGCCAGTTAAGATGTTGCAACCTTTGAGGCTGATGGATCAAGAAGGTTTCCTGATGTCTCTAAAAAATTTTCCAGATAGCAAAATAGATGCTTCTGTTGAAGCCCTAGTTGACCCACAATCATTTTCAGTTGGCAAAACCTTGCAGAAGCAGACGTTTTAACCCCTTCTGTCCCTTGTCTCAGCCCACATTCTAAATTGGGAGGGGCTCATTTGCCTTTTAAAATATTCAGGGCAGATCTGTTCACAGATCTCCCAGTGACTTGTCTAGTTTGACCAAAGGGATGGTTAAACTAAAAGTAGTGATCGCTATAACTAAATGCAGGAAGTTTTGAAGTGCACTAAAACACACAACACTTGCGTCCTCCTTAACCACAAGAGATTCTGTTAGAATATACTGAGTCCAACCTGCCATTTCAAACTGAACTGTTCAGTACTCTCCTCCAGGTCTTCCCCACTCCTCCCAGCACACACATTAACCAGAGTCAGAATGGCCACCGTATTTTACAACAAAGGATTCAGGTTATTTTAATGTGGAAAGAACTTTATTCAGAGCAGAAGCCTTATGTTGTATTATAAAATTCACACAGGGCAGGAAACCATAGACGTATTTGCTTTGTGGGTGGGAAAAAGTCAGTAAGAACCAGAACAGTCAGTAAGAACCAGAACAGAATCCATGGGAGGGAGGGAGGGGGTATGTCAGTTTTTTGTCAGGAGCAAAGAGAGGGGATTCAGTCTGCCTCCATTGGTTTCTCTTGTGTAGCAATTTGACTAATAAATTTCTGGCAGCAAATGGAAGGGCCAATGCTCAGTTTTCTGTTTTGTGTTCAGTTAATTTATTTACTTGATTAATAAATTAATTTATTTACTTGATTAATGAAGGGAAGTGGCAAGGAAGAGTGGGCAATAGTTGTACCTATGTTCCTGGAAGGATCTTGTACACTGACTCTTATTTGTTTCCTTGGAGAACAGAATCGAGAAATTGTTAAACCAAGACTTGCTTAACATTTTTCGTGCATGTATTCTGATTAATTGGAGCACTCTGATTCCTGTGGCACTCGGGTCTGAACAATAACTCCGTTTCCCTTTTGCAAAAACAACTACAGCAACTAGTGCATACATGAGTATTCATTTGGAACAATTTGAATACTTTCTGAAATTCTGTTAAAAATAAAATGTTTCACTTTTGCAGGCACTTCAAAAGAGTATGGTTAGATTTGCTGATGTTTTTAAACATATAAAAATGCTCTGAGACACTCTGCAGATTTATACTGAACAGATTTAAAGTTGGTGTACCTGTCATAATCCATTACATCAGAATCTGCATGCTATAAGTGATGAGAGAAACTGGAGTGGGCAGATTGAAATAAAGATAACCAGATCCTCTTAGTTTCGCACTTTCATTCTTGGCTACCCATCTGAAGGAGTTAATCTCCTGCGCGCTACTATTTTTGTTATAGTGGCACCTGCTTGTGTCACTATTGTTCAAATCAGTGTTCCTGTTTTACGATTAGGTTAGCATGTGCTGCGGACTGAAATATCCAAGAAGAACAGCCCAGCTAAGATTGATGACCGGCTTGGTTTCCTTGTTTGTATGAAAATACGGGCCAAAGAACGCAACATTGTCCTCTTAGATCAGAGACAGAAAATTGAAAGAATTTGCAGATACTTGTGTAGCTTCCAAAGCAATGACTTAGTTACTCTAGTTGAAAATCTTGTGGGATTTAAAACTTTTCTCATTTGGGAATTTTTGATTTTACAAATAAGTCAAGAAACTACGTGGGACATGATTTCAAAATCTTTGACAAACATGAAATATTTTAGCTTCTTAAAATTCAAGCAGTATTTTTAAAAACTATTTTCTAATTCCCTCCATCTTACTTTTTTCTGAAATGTTCTTCAGTGTGGTATCTTCACCATCCATTATGAAATTAGCTGGGGGGGGGAGTTTGACATGTATCAATGTTTTCTTAAAGTTCTTAATCTCCTGAATGGGTTAGAATCTGTTCTGTATCAACCCAGAAATGTAAGAATTTGCAACTAAGTAGTGCATAAATTTGAGGGTTATAAGGATATGATATCCATCCTCCTTTTTTGTCACCGGTGAGTCTGTCATTTGTGACAGTAAGATGTCTGTTTATCATTTTAACGCTTTTAAAATGTGAAGACAGTGCCAGTTTTGAGAGGGAAGAATTAAGGGTCTTGGTAAAGCTGGACAATTTGTTACTGGGACAGAAAATATGTTGTTCAGGAACCACACCTGGGGTCCTTGGAAGCATATTCCCCTGAACCTGCAGCTTCACCTAGACCTCCCTCCAGAACCCCAGCTTCCCAATGCAGTAGATCTGTGACCACTTTTTAACTTCACGATGGGCAAAACAATGAGCCTTACTTTTCATTCCAAGGGACAAGGAGCGTCTTCGTGTGCTCTGTCTCTTTCATGGCAAGGGAGGGCTTATAGCAATGGGATATTTGTTCATGGACAAAGCAGGCGGGCTCAGCAGTAGTATCACACTGCCACAAGGAATATCCTGAGTGTGTGGGGGGTGAGGTAAGTAGATTTGGCATAGAGATAAAGGGGAGTGAGGGGGGAATCTAGGTCACCCCCCAGTATCTGTACAATTGCCCTCTAGCAGGGTACAAATTTGCATTAAGCCTTTGGCTGAAAGAATGCAGCTTTCAAATTGATAGAAGGTTTGTGCTCGGAGTCTCTCTGGTATTCACGGCCACGTCTCCATTTGCCAAAGGGAAAGGGCTTTTCTTTGCTGCTGAGGATTGTGTATTTGTGTTCTTCTGTCTCTTACAAGATCGTTCTGTGTCTCCATTCTTCCTGCACTATCTAGTCTTTTTCTTTTTTTCTGAAATGTTTAAAAAGTAAAATGCTTTCCTATGATAGTTGACACAGATAACACATCAAAGCATTCTGAAGTTTAGCTGTCTTTCTGCCCACAGGAATACCAATGCTGAAGATTGTCTTTGAGGGCTATGAACACCTGTCTTTAATTTCTGTCCCTTTACTTATCTATCATCCGGCTCAGATCCTCCTCGGTAGCGTCTTAGTACCAACGATAAAATCTTGGATGATTTCTAGACAAAAGGTAAGGAGTTAGGACTGTAATCAGCATGCTACATTTTCAAAAAGACATCTGTTTTAGACTAAACAGAAAATATCGAAGCCTCCATGAAAGCAGACATGGGAGAACCATCACAACTATGTTGCTGTTCAGATACTGTACTGTCAGCACTTGCTCTTTGATAGGGCCAATCTGTAGGGTGGAGAACCAGGCAGAGCTGAAGAGGGGCCCATTGCTGGCATCGTAGGTAGCACATAAATAAATACAAAGATGCCCTGAAATGTTAACGGTAAATAGCACTCTGCTACATCTTCCTCTTTCATGTCTGAAGAAAGATCCAAGTCCAACACAGTGGCCCATGGTACAGCTGTTTGCCGAATGAAGAGTCTTCTTTTGTTCTGTCTAGATTTCATAACCAGTAGGAGCAAAGGGGCTTGGAAATTGGAATACCAGTTACTATTGTGACATATAACAGCCAAACCAATTGTTTTGCAGCTCAAACAAATAATTATGAGCAGACTGTTTTCTTGGTGGAGCAATGCCACTTTTGGTCATCCCAGTAATTTTTCTGCTCGTTTTTCCACCCATGCATGCTTCCCCGATCAAGATGTTCACATGAAGTAGGGCTGTGGCTTGGTAGTAGAGCATCTACTTTCCATGCAGAAGACCCACTAGACCTCAAAGGAAACAATAATGACCTTAATAGACCAGTGCTGGGGTGGAGTGGGGGTCACATCCCAAAAAGATCTGGTATGGTTTTATTTCTCCAAAATCCAGTGCTTCCATAACAGGTCTTGGTAGAGCATCTACTTTCCATGCAGAAGATCCTGGGGTCAATTTTCAACAACTCCGTGAAAAAATCAGGTAAAGACTTCTACCTGAGACCCACTAGACCTCAAAGGAAACAGTAATGACCTTAATAGACCAGTGCTGGGGTAGAGTGGGGGTCACATCCCAAAAAGATCTGGTATGGTTTTATTTCTCCAAAATCCAGTGCTTCCATAACAGGTCTTAATGAGTCTACACTATCTGACAAGTTTATTTAATCATTTGTTATTGTTCCATGCAAATACTTTTCTTCTGGTCCCTGGGTTATTTTTTCCATAAAGAGTATTCTAATTACACAGCTTAATATTACTGTTTTTATAAATCAGGAAGTTTGCTTTTGATTCAGGAGCAATAATTACAATAGATGTTGATGTTGTGCCTGGATAATGGTCTCCTGCTTTGAAAGTAAACATGTCATCTTCACCTTGATGTTTATTTTTCTATCAACACCTTGGCTTCTCCTTGGCATTTCTCTCATGGTGGAAAACTGTTATCCAGGCAGAAAGCTCAGCTCCACTGACATCCGTGCTTAATTATGGCACTAACATGTGATCTCTTCATATGAAATGGAATTTAAATATTTAGAAGTTCATCGACAAGAGGGCGTTTCTCCTTGGCAAGTTGTACAGCATAATCTGCCACACACCAAAGTAAAGAGTCTGTTTTCACAAACAACATTTGAAATGTTTATATCGCTGATATTAAGTTTGGTTCATCCTTATGCGCACTCAATGAAAGATTATTGCATTGTTTGCATGTGGCCAAACAGAGTCCAGGCCACTCCTTATTTAATAATCTGGGTTTATCCCCCCAAAATGGGCGTTAAAATATAGATATGCATTCCTCAATCTTCTTTCACTATATATTGGAACATTTAATTGACCTATTGTAAGTAATGGTCTTTCATTAGCTTCAAAGGTCACTTTGGAAATGTCATAAAAACATGAAAGTAGCAGATGTTGTGCATATATTGAGGTGGATCCTGTAATTCATCAGTGGAAGCCGCTAATGGTCACCAGTCTTTTGTGTGAACAGAACTCCACTGTTGGAAGAGGAAAAAGAGAACAATTTTTGCCTGCTTCCTGCCGAATCCTCCTGACCCACTTGGCTATTACTCCGTGCAGGTCTCATGATCCCAGGAAGAGGTTTATTCCCAGAGTCAGAAATAATGGCGGGGGAAGAGGAAAATCAGGAAGACCCCCTTTTCCTGTCATTCTCCTCCTCTCTATGAAAGACCACTGTACCAGTCTAAAGTATTCCTTGTCCTCCTTCTCCATTGAGAAAATTGGAATGGGTGACTTCCAGTTCTACCTAAAATCCCCAGCCCCACCATGCACACTGTGCCCTAAGTGCAATTCTAGTTCTTTGTCTAAGCAATTGGCAGGAGCAAGGTAGAACATGGGTCAGTCTGCCCATCGACAAGACATGTGTTGTATCTCTAGATAAAGAGGCAGTGGGAGGGAAGAAGAACTGTGGGAGGCAGTGTTGCATTCCCAGACTGTGACGAACAGACACGTAGCCTTTGGAGCAAGGCTAAAATTGCCTTCTATTCCCTGATGGAAATACTGGCATGATCCCAGGATCTCCTTCCAGGTAGCATCACCAGCTCTAAGGGACAAGCCAGGCATGACTCAGGGAGATCCATTCATGGTTGTTAAAGCAAAATAGCAGCTACGCATGGTCCTCTTCAAATGTAGAGGGGTGAGGTAACCCTTTTGCCTGCATGATTTCACTGCTCACAACTGATCTCTCCCCTGACTTTGTTAGTCCTGGGAGAGGAAATGATGGGCACTCTCTTGGACTAACAATTCATGGTGAGGCCACTTGAGAGGAGAAGGAAACAACAATATTGCTGCTTCTGCCCCACCCGCAATGGCCCTGATCTAAGCTGAGGCTCTGCACAGCTTCTGTTTCCCTTTCAAAAACACTAGGAGAACAATTCATGAATTTCTTAGCGTCATGTCCAGTTTGACCATAGGAGAAGGTGCAACCAGAGAACCAGAATCTTTTCTAACTATCCTGGGAAGACTGTCACCAGTTTGTAGCAACTACATTGGAGGAATGTTGTAGTGTTAGCCTTGGTTTTATGAATGCCATAAACTGATGCTTTATTTTAATATCTGCAGGCACTGAAGTTGACAAAGCAGCCCAAGATGCCAGTGAAGGTATAACGAGAGAAGAAATCCACTGAATGTACATATGTACTATACTGTACATACACAGAGACAACTCGGAAAACAGGCATATGTGAATGTTGCTTCAATACTTTATTTTTATAGATACTTCTGATATATATATATTTAAAATACCTATTGAAGTGCCTTAAAATATCTTTGAAAAAGCATTGATTCCAAAGCCACATGGCTGGTTATTAGAAGAGGTTGCACACATTTTTGAGATCCTTTGATTTTTTAAGAAAAAAATCTTAAGTAAACAAGACTTGGAGCTTCTGTCATTGCACATTCTCAGAGACAGCAGGCACAATCCATCCAAAAACAACCCTCTCTCAAAATGAGTGAAGATTGAATGGGAGCCAAATTCAGTGGACTGTGCTGAACTGTTCACAAGTTAGTATGTTAAACCAGGACATAATAAACCAGGGACAGCTCACTTCTGGCTGCCGACAGGAAAGCACTTTCTGAAGTTCTTGTTGAGAATAACTTGAATTTCTGTGTGATTCCATAACCCTCCCTGCTCGTATGATTGTGACATGCCTTTTTCTTCTGTGTACACTCAGCATGGGGCCATCCATTGGAAGAGAAACTGAAAAGCATGAATTATTTGCATTTGTTGACACAGTTGTCTAGACATTCCTTCAAAGTTAATGGTTTCTCACGACAATTCTCCCCGTTCCATTTTTATGATATTGTGGCATTGTATATCTTAAATGTATCATGAGCTTCTTCAAAGAGACAGCCCGGAGCTTAGGTTGGTAGGGAACGATCTGTGATCTGCAGCTAGAGGTTTTCTCTCCCCCCCCCTCCATTACTATTGTTAACCCAAACCAAGCAAAAAAAAGCTTGTTTCCTTTTTCTTGCCCAAGTTCAGTACACGCCTCCCCACAGTGACAGAATACGAGATACGAATATTGCAGTAGCCATTTTCCCACAGTTTACAGAGCTTCAGTTTTTGTTGGATCTTGAGCAGCACACGGGACCTTCTGAGGGTGGGGAACTGATGGCTCTTTGTCAGCCCACAAATGTACTGGTGTACTTTATACATTTTAAGGAGCACTGGTGATAAGGGGGGGGGGGATATGTCTAGTCTGACAATCAGTTGTAGCTTGAATTTAAAAAAATGGAATTTCCTTTACATTTTTATAGACGAGATGAATATTAGTGTATTAATGAATATGAAGGAGGGGAAAGGTAAGCGCTGCACCTTATTTGAGACAGGTGTCATTGGGCTAAGTGCTGATCCCAGCACCGGATGCATCAAGTATGGCCTCATAAGCTCAGTAGTCATCTGTAATTCAGAGGTTGTTCTCTGCCCATGAGGATCTTCATAGTGTCCTCCATTAAAGGGGTGTGCTAAGATCCAGGGAGGCACACTGGGATTGCACACGGAATTCTTGGAATGAGAGGATCGTTTGTAACCATGTCCCACAGCAGGTTAATGAAAAGATAGAACATCACATTCTTAGGGAATGGTATACAGCTTCAGTGTCACAATTAACTGCATATATAAGCTATTGTGAATGCATTCCCTGAGTTTAATCATGGTATATTGGGATCAACCATCCTGCTCAGATAATTCCATTTGGTGCCAAGCTGAGTTGCCTTGGGTTGACAATCATCTGTATCAAGTAATTTCCTTGTCACCAAGGTTCAAGTATCTTTATTAATGGATCATTCTGGGAGATAAAATGAATGTATGATACATCAATGTGTTTGGCACCTATTTAGCAAGGATTAAGGTCAGTGAAGTTTAACATACCAGCCTATAGACTGCTGCTTTTCATTAAGTGGGTGATCTGAATTTTTATGTAGAAATTAATCCTTTTTTTAAAAAAAATGGTGCACCACATTGATGTTTCTAACAAATATGCCTCTAGAGGAATACCTAAAACCAATCACAAGCAGGGTTCTTGATTAAGTGGACCAAACATGTTTTACAAAACTCACCTCATTTAATGTTTGATGACTCATCTTGTCTTGGTGATTAAAACGTGAACAAACAAGAGGTTAGATAAAGGCACACAATATTGTTTTACCCCACAAATCCTGTTCTGAACCTCCAACATGCATGTCCTCCTAACCCATAGTCCTTCAGTTCATAACCTGAGGAAGAAAATGAGGTCACAGGATTTTGCGGTTGCCTGTTCCAAAACAGCTCACTTGTATATTTGAGAATTTTGTGCGCAAAGGAAATAAATAAATAGGTGTCATACTAGAGTGCAAGTTTTGCTCTTGTGCAAATCCAGATCATTTTGACATTCTGGCACATGAAACATCCCTAGCAGGTCATTCCCGTTAGCTCACATCCCGCCCTTCTGTCCTGTCATCTGAGTCTTGTCTGCTCTCGATCAGTCACCACACTGCGAATATTCCAACAGATCTACCTCGAAGTACAGCACCACCATCAGTTCATGGCTTTTAACTATAAAGTGTTGTCACGGTGATTTCATTGATATGTTACTCTATTTAAAATTGTTCTATGGAGCGGTGGTTTTGTGTAGGCCCTTTTTGGCGATAACTGTTGATGGCTTGGGACAGCCTAAATGGTGTTATGTTTCTTCCTGTTTTTACATAAGTGACTCTTGGATGGATTCTTCTGAAGGGGACATAAAGCAAAACTGAAGTACACCTCTTAAATCCATGCTTAGTAGAACTTAATTATTCATATCCAAAATGTTGCATTATGTTTAAAGACTGTTAAGATGTTCATTTCATGCCTTCAGTTATGCCTACATGTCCTTATAAAAGAAACTGATTGGGTAGTAGTTGATTAATATAGAATTGGGAAATGAGCAAATGGATGGGTTTGCGGTTTATTTTTGTAACTTGGCTTCATTTTTTCCTGAGTCAATCTTTCTGTTTGTTTCTTTTTAAAATGCAAACTTTTTTTAAAAAATAAAATGACCGATTAAATTGAAAACTGCAAAGCTTCTCAAGAGTGTTTTGCATTTCTTGCTTAATTCTGACCACATCAAAGACTTGGCTTCATGTAGAAGAAAAGAGAACCTAGCAGAATATAAAGTAATGGGGCCCCGTGATTGGTTTTCACCTCAGATTTGCTGAAGTGTTATCCTCATCTCTTATGAAGTCAGGACAAGATAAGCAAGAGGTCTTAGTCAGTGTTCCCTCTAAGATGAGTTAGTGTGAGCTAGCTCACAGTTTTTTAGTCTCCAGCTCACACATTGAGCGGGAGGGCGGGGTAAAAATCCAATTAAATAAATAAATAAATCGTTGTCTTAGCTCAGGAAGGATGGCTCCAGAGCAAACTAATTTATGCAGTAGACAAATCGCCCACTCACAACTAATGCCAATAGCTCACAAAGTAGAATTTTTGTTCACAAGACTCCACAAATAATGCAACTTTTTTTGTCATCAGTGTAGCCAGAGTGTCTTGTGAATCCTATGCTTTGAGTTCCATGATAGAGGAAAGGTTATAAACACAATAAAATAAATGTGACTTTCTCGTGTCCACAGAATATTGTGAGACCCAGTAGCGCAAATGACTTTACTGTGCAATATCAGCCTGTTATGTAGGGATAGGTGGTTAATAAATATTTTTAATATAAAACATTACATTTATGGGAGAAGTCTATCAATAGTTCATTATGCTACAAGCAGTATACATCCGGTTACCAGGTGCTGGGAAATGGCTTTGGCCATTTTCCTGAAAGTGTCAGCCCGCATCTAGCTGCTAGAGGTGGATCTTGGGTAGGAGTCAGGAAGGTGTGAAAATTCACCATTTCTGCTCACATTCTGCTCGCCAGCTACAAGCAGGGAGCTGATTTTTCAGTATGTTGTTCACCAGGTTACTTTTTGCATACTCAGGCAGAACAATCAGCAGTACAATCAGCAGAGCCAGTTTGGTGTAGTGGTTAAGTGTGCGGACTCTAATCTGGGAGAACCGGGTTTGATTCCCCACTCCTCCACTTGCACCTGCTGATGTGACCTTGGGTCAGTCACAAGCTCTGGCACAGCTGTCCTTGAAAAAGAGCAGTTTGTGTCAGAGTTCTCTCAGCCCCACCCACCTCACAGGGTGTCTGTTGTGGGGAGGGGAAGGGAAAGGAGTTTGTAAGCCGCTCTGAGACACCTTTGAGTAGCGAAGGGCGGGGTATAAATCCAATCTCTTCTTCTTCTATTATACTCCCGCACATTCTCACACAGCCCAGCGGCACCCCTAGTTTATTACGCCTCCCCTACACCGTCGTCGTCATCACTCAGCAGCCAATTGAATAAACAAACTAATTAATTGGGTCAACCAAAAATTATACATTAAAAAAAATCTTATGGTTTGGTTTCATTTAATTTTGTTATTGTTTTTCATCTGGCCATCCTTGCGCAGCCTTATGGAAGTTGTAGTACCCCCAAAAAAAAAAAATCACTTAATTAACTGGCAAAAATTAATTCACCAACTGCACTGATGCCAAAGCAGCTTTCAAGGCAGAAGGAAATGCAACCTCCAAACACTACAGCTACTGTGCAGCCGCAAAGCTGTTCAGCTGCTGTTCAAGCCAGATGGCAGTGAGGAGAGAATATCCAAGTTTTGGCTCCTGAAGGACTGTGGCCAGCTGAACCTGTTTGCTGCCAGGTTCTCAGCATCCCTAGCTGGGAGCAGCAAGGCAGCTCTTATGAACTGCAGCCAATAGTGAAGTTATTTTCCCTGCTCAAGTAATTTTATTTTTCTGCACAATCTTAAATAAACCTTTATCTCTAGATAGGAAAATATGGGGCTGGAAACTAGATTATCACACACTTCTCTGCCATGACGGAGGCAAGATCTGTGGCCCATAAATAACTATGTTGATAATTGTATTCCAAAGGTCTTGCCTCTCGCTCTAAAGGATGACCTGCTTCTGTTCTTTCTGCCAATACTCCTTAATTCACTTCAAGATGCTTTAGTGGATTTCTTAAATAACGCCTTTATGAAACTGGAACAGTAGTTTGAAAGAGTGCCGTACCTAAATACAATTCCCACTTTTACGGAGCTTAGGTGAAAATTTCAGTGCTGCATGGCTTTTACAATTCATGCTCAAAGATGTGATAAAATTAAAACTATTTACCCAG